AGCCATTGTGCAGGAATAGGCAACCTTTCTCGGGCAATATCAGCATCTGGCCACTGAAAGATGCACCCATAGGCAGAATTTGTGCTTAACATGTATATACAATCAAATGATCCTCTTCAGTTTAGTATTTATGAATTTCCACTTTTTATCACATAAGCAATTACCATTTGGGATGAGCTTCTGAGGGTTTCTTGGAGTTGCCTCCAAAGCTGTGAGAGATGTATGGGGCTCTGGAGTTTCTGTTGTGTATTTCTGAGTTACAGATTTGTGCAGTATGTTATTGATAGCTCCTGTGAGATTCCCCATAGAATGTGACTTAAATGCCTCAGATGTTACAGAATAATAGAACAGAATAACAGAGTTGGAAAGGACCCTGGAGGTCTTCTAGTCCAACCCCCTGCTCAAGCAGGAAACCCTGTGACATTTCAGACAAAGGTTGTCCAATCTCTTCTTAAAAACTTCCAGTGTTGGAGCATCCACAACTTCTGGAGGCAAGTTCCATAATTAATTGTCCTAACTATCAGGAAATTTCTCCTTAGTTCTAGGTTGCTTCTCCCCTTGATTAATTTCCATCTATTGCTTCTTCAGATGCCTTCAGATCCTTTGAAAAATAAATTGACTCCCTCTCCTTTTGGCAACCCCTTAGATATTGGAACACTGCTGTCATGTCACCCTGTCCTTCTTTTCGTTATACCCAATTCCTGCAACCATTCTTCATATGTTTTAGTCTCCAGTTTCATAATCATCTTTGTTGCTCTTCTCTGCACTCTTTCTAGTTCATAGAGAAATCAGAAAATGAGTTGCTATGTTTACACATTGCACTATTTTTCTTTTAAGTATGATGTGTTAATATGTTCTTGAATCCTTTGGTTCTTTCACTTTTTTCTAATGGCAGAGCGAGAAAAAGAATGAAGTCACACAAAAATCAGCTCGAAAAGTTTTGATAATGACATTTTCTTTTTCATACTGCCCCTCTTTATTCAATAACTGATTACCGTGCTACAAAAGGGTGGGTGGAATTTAAATTTTGGAATGGTCTACTAAGGGATTCTAAATTCTTTGCCTTCTCAATTAGGCTTTTGGGATAGAAGAAGGTCTGTGTGAGGAGAATGGAATCCAGTCTGTTGCTTCCCCCCCCCTTCCTTTTTTTTGTTACGGAATTCTGAACTTTGATGCTGCAGATAAATTCCTCAGTTGAACAAGTTTTGTGCTTTATAATAATTTTGTGCCCCAGCCTGACTGTTAGTTGCTAAGATTTTCATAAATATAGGTCTTTCAAGTCTGAACCCTTGGTATCATCATCATCATACTACTATTCCCAGGGTTTATAGGTGTTCCTTCCTTACAGTACTTCCTTTTAAATAGGCTCTATGTTGCTTTCCAGAAAAAGCTATGGCAAAACTTCTTAAAACTTTACACTAGAGACTATGGGCAGCCTTAATACCATTTCCCACCCCTTATCTTTTTCTGAATACAACAATGTGGATATCAAACTACATGGCAGCCTATGTAAATATATTTTAAATGCTAATAAAGAACTTCCTTTATGAAGAGAATACTTCTTGTTATAGCTTATCACATGAAAAAGGTGTTAACACCATTGCTTCCTAATCTTCTGGTAGAATATAGTGTCAACCACACAGCAGTATCATTAATTTGAAGGACTCGGTTATATTTTCCCCAATGCCATCCTAACTGAGCCTCATTGTTGGGAGGAAAGCCCCTTGTTATAGGAGGAAAGTATTTCTCTGTTTATAAAAATCTTTAACAGGAGTATTCAGGTATGTTTGCACTGGTTTAAAAGATTAGCAAACTCTTCCACTGTGCAAGAACTGCCGGTATCCAGACAGGAACAATAGAACTTCAGTCTGAAGATTGGGACAACTGTATTTCCTGAGTCAAAGAATGGGCGTTTGGTGATACAGGGCCACATTAAGACTCCTTGTAGATTCTCGGGCCATTTATCTTCATACGTTTTCATTGCAGTAATAAGCCAAAATTTTAGGATTATAAAGGTATTTCCTTCACTTATATTTTCAATGAGATATAGTGAATTTTATTTTGTCGAAGAGTGCATGATGTCACAAAATTAAATTGCAATGAGTATACATGTGATGAAGTAATAGTAATGAATTAAATATATTTAATTTGGATGCTATATAAATTAATTTCCCTGTCATATTTTCAGTGTTTTTAAAAAAAAACACCTTAAAATACATTAATAAACTCCAAACGTTTTACAGGCTATAGTCCAGTGTTTCTCAATCTTGGCAACTTTAAGATGTGTGGATTTCAAGTCCCAGAATTCCCCAGCTAACATGCTGCCAAGGTTGAGAAACACTGCCCTGGGCACTATGAATAATATGAGCATGCCACAGTAATATATTCATATCCGCTGTTTTGATAAAAGTGTACAAGATAACTGAGGTTTATGATTGAATTGTACTGAAACTGGAAAACATATTAACCAAATATGTCCTGTAAGGGTTAGCTGCAAGGTAATTCATACATCTTATTAAGCCATGGTATGTTTAATCATAATTTACTGAATCAGTCACAAGTGGCTGGTTCCCATAATATGCCACCAGCAAATCAATAGTATGTATGTATGTATGAAATATCACTATGTATAAACCTAGCTGTTACCAATATCTTATGTTTTTCTAGGTCATATGGTTTGCTTGTTTTGGCTCATTATGTTGTATGAACCTAGCCAATATGATTCCATTACCTAGTTAACTGTGTCTTATTCATAAATCAGAATGAAACAAAGGATGGTTTAGAATTATATACGAATCTATCCCATAGGGTCTAGCCAGAACTCTGATAATTGCCTGCTGAAGGCAGCTTTGAACCTATTATTAAAGCCACCACTGTCTATAACATATTACATTAATCTGTCCTGGAAGTGATTAGGCAGACCAGTTTCTCCAGAAACAGTCACAGCCAAAATAGAGGCAGCATGCATGTACCATGAAGTCAGTTACTGAATTAACATGTTTTCTGAGCTTTCAAATACAGTACATGAAACCATCAACTAATCAAATATGCTGGTCTTATACAACATGCAAGATGAAAACCAAGATTACTTGGTTACGTATGTAGTATGACTATAGATACAAGGTTTAGAAAAGTACTCCTAGTCAAAGACAATAGTTGATTGTTTAGCAATAACTTCCAGGCTGTAAAGCTGCTGCTTTAAGGATAAATGGAAGTTCCCTTGCAGAGGGTGTATATTCTACATTTTCAGAATCCCCAAATAATTATAGTTCCATTTTCATTATATCATCTTTTGATACAACTTGGTCTTACTGTGCAATACACTGCATGTACTGAGCCACCATCCTTCCCTAATACTACTGTTTGGGTAATATGCAAACTCATTTATTTGAATTGATCAACCACATGTTGAGTAATAAAGGAAGGAAGAGTTCAGCCAGAACAACTCATGAAAATATTATGCTTTAAACATAATCATCTTAAGGACTCAAGGAGGGAGAAAGTCAAAGAACACTCCGAAAGTGGACTTCTCCAGCAACTCGATGGAACAGTGAATGTGTGTTTGTGGATATTTTTAAGAAATATTTTAATGTGATATATGGGTGACACTGGAAACAAGTATCTAGAAAAACAGAAATAAGTCGGTTGCAACACATTGCTCACTTCAGTTGATCTCAGAATAAAGTTGGGTTGGATCAGGTTAATGTTTGCATAAGAGATTATTAAACAACTGCAAGGCTATAAGCTCTGCTAAGAAGTTGAAAAATAATCTGGGAAGAAAGTTATAGCAAACTATTCAATCCTGTTTGCACAAAAACTACACTGGTACAGCCATATAATTACCAGAAGTCATGTTTAACATAAAGAAATCTTTGCCTTTCAGTGATATATATAACCTCATCGTATATCATTGTAAAAACTTCCTAGCCATGTCGATAACAAAGTTTCTTATTTATCCATTTTACCTTCCTGCAGTAACTATTGCATCCCCACTGACTGGGAACTCAGAAGAACAATGTAAGTCAGGGCAGTACGAAATATCAATCTTCCATTCCTCCATTTAAATAATGGCAGTCTGAAACTGCAGATCCACATATGTGTGTTTGAGCACACACGCATACACACAGACACTCCTGGCAAAATAACAGAGTTGGAAGGGATCTTGAAGATGTTCTAGTCCAATCCCCTGCTCAGGCAGGAAACCCTATCTATACACTATGTTCAGTGCTTTTTTTGAAAAAAATAAAATAAAAAATAAATGTGCCAGAACTCACACACGTCATACAACCCGCCTTGCCTACCCTACAAGGTTACATCCAAAAAAGGTGCAGGAACTCCGTTCTGGGCGTTCTATGACAAAAAAAAAAAAAAAAGCCCTGGCTATGTTAAATACAGCTCCTTAAATGCATGGAGCATTGTAACTCTACAGATATTGCTAAACTACAACACCTACGTTCCCTACTCCTTGACCATATTGGATGGGACTATGGGCGCTGTAGTTCAGCAGCATCTGGAAACCCACAGGCAGTTGTCGCGTACTATTGTGAGTTTAGGATCGCACTGAGTACAGCTGGAATCTACTGCTTCAGGTAAACAAAATGCACGCGGGAAATAAAGACTTCCTCTTCCTTCCCCATCGTCCTGATCCACATTTGGCTCTGCAAGAAGAAAGGAGGATGAAGCTGCAACGTATAGGTTCAAATCCTGTAGTCGCTTAGTCGCTGTGTGCAGATGTATGGGGGGGGGGGAACGGTGGGGAGGGAGACTGTCGATCTAATAAAACCAACTTTTTTTCCTGATAAACCGAGAAAAACCTGCCAAAGCTGAAAATGCCATTCCTCAGTCCTTGTTCATGGAAGGAAAAAATTCAAAATCTCAGCCTCTTAAGAAGGACGCTCTCGGTCGGAAAGAGAGGGGTGGGGAAGGGGAAAGATGAAAGATCACGAGTTTCTGAATTTCCCTCGGCTGGACTTTTGAAAGCCATTCCGTCTTTACTCAACTTCATTCTCTGTCGGCTCGGGATTGGTCAATCAGAGCTGAAACTCCACCCATCTCTTTCCAAATCCCTCTCCCGTGTCCGTCCCTTGACTCTGCTTCTTTATGTCCCCGGTGCAGGGACGGCGACGGGGAAAGGGGAAAAAAAAGAGGCTACGATTGAGGTACTTTTAACGTCCCTGGCATTAAGAGCTCCGCCGTTGGCTGCGGTGGTAAAAGAGAGTTTCAGAACTCTTGTTTTCTCCTCGGCAAGTTTTCTTCGGTGGAAAAAAAGACTTAGAAAACTCAGAAAGGCGAGAGTCTTGTGTGGTTTCCCCTCCACCCCCGAGGACAGGTAAATTCTAAAGATTAGAATTTAACGTTTTTGTACACTCGGCAAGTCACGGGTGAATTTTAGTACGTCGTTCGGAGTGTGGGAAAGGGAGAGGAGGAGGGAAAAGAAATTATGGGGTAGAGCTTGAAAGGTTGAAGAAGAAATTGAAAGACATGAAGGTAATGATGAAGATGGGACAAGAAAATTAAGGGGAAGAGGCAACAGTCCCCTACATTTTTTTATGCCTTCAGCATTTTGGCTTGGGAATTATAGGAAACTATAATTCACCCCATCTGGATGGCACCAAGTTGAGGATGTTTGGAGTTGTGAGGAATTATAAGAAACAGGATGCAATAGGAGAAGGAGAGAAAGAGTAGGACAAGAAGAAAACACCTAGGATGGAGAAATGGTTTGAGTCAAGACAGATGTACCATATGGAGCAGCCTGGGGAAAAAAAAGTGCTGAGGTAGAAGTTGTGGTGTGTGCGTGTGCATAAAATAGTTGGGATTTTATATCATACGCTTGAAGGACTAGAGCTCCTTAACTTTTCAAGCATGAAACAGAATTTCTTTTTAACTGTGGAGTGTGATCATGTGAATAGAACTAAGTAGTAGTACTTTAAGATGCCAGACTTAAACATGAGCCTGTCTGGGGGGGGGGGGAGTATTCCATGTGATCCATATATACACACACATTCGTATGCACACACAAAAACCTCTCATGTTTCTGCTGTGGCTTATGAGTCTAATTTCTTAGGCCCCGGAAGCAACTAGAGATCTTCCAGATGTTGGTATTTCCTCTTCTAGGTAGCATTTTAATTTAGTGTTTTATTAAATAGCCTGTGTTTTAATTGCTGACTTGCTAAGGAAAAAATTAGCAAGAAAGCAGTCCTTCCAGCAAATATTCTGGATTTCAACCCAAAACTGGCACATAGCAGGATTAGTTCTTTTTTCAGACTATCCAGAGTTAGCTCTTTCCACTTTTTATATTCCTACCTTTTGGGGTGGCTTGGATTGCAAATATCACAAAGAGCCATCTGGACCTTTTCCTTCCATTTTTGTTCATTTGTTTGCTGGAACTCTTTTTTCAAAGTAGTGTTTCTGGTTGAGCCTTTGAACTTGTAAACTGCAATGCATTCTAGTGCTAACAGGCTGTTCATGTTCTGTGTAAACTATGACTGTCTGGATAACAGACATGAATTTCCTAAAACAAAAGAAGACGCTGATCGTATTTTCTAATTTCACTCCTAATTGTTTTAGGGTTCTTATATCAAGACAAGACAGAAATAAAACAAACTTGTTGTTCAAGAATGCCTTATAAGTTAGAGAAATTAAGATGGCTTTGCCCAACTTATCACCCTCCATATGTGTCATGTTTTTTCCCCTTCATCTGTACTGGGTTGAGTAGGCACGATGAAGATAATTGTCGGTTGCATCTGGAAAAAAATTTGAATTGGACAAGATCAGCCTGGACATTGGAAAAAGCAACAAAAGGGATGTAAAACAACATGTGCTATTTAGAGACACATTTGGAAGTAAACAGCATTAGATTCAGTAGTCAAGTACTGTAAATATTCTTATGAGAAGAAGAGAAAGAAAGAGAGGGAAGGGAGGGAGGGAGGAAGGAAGGGAGGGAGGGAGGAAGGAAGGAAGGAAGGAAGGAAGGAAGGAAGGAAGGAAGGAAGGAAGGAAGCCAGATTAATTCTGGAGTCAGGCAGCACCTAAATCAAATCAATTAAATTAAAAGATGGATGGATGGATAGACAGACAGACAGATGCCAATGCAGCCATTGTTTATCAGTAGCTGTACATAAACTTTCCTTAAACAAAAGAATAACTAGATTTTGGATTCCTGATGAATTCAAAGGAGTGGGAAGAACTTTTGTTGATTATGTTGCTCCCGGGCAGCAGTGTTTGGGACAGTCCTTGCAATAGTAACTTAGGCTGGTTGGCAGAAAAAAGAAGGAAAGGAGGAGTAAAACCAAAGATGGATGATAAGGAGGCACATAAAGTTGTGGCTTTTGGAAGAAACCAAAGTTCTTTAGCAAGAGCAGGCTGAGGTGGCTGCTGGCAATGGACAGCAAATCCAAAAGAAAGCAACACTTTTGAGTTTCTGAAAGTTGTGTTTGTTAAATGGGAGTCATGTTGAGAAATAGAAAATAATCGTCTGCTTGGCCTGCCACAGCTTTTGAGCAGATTCCACATGCAAATACCTTCCTCTGCTCTTTTGTCTCCTTCTTCTCCACCCTGTCTCCTGTCAGCATTTTCATGATGATATTAGTGAGATCTGCTAGGCCTCAGTGAAAGGAGGGTGATGGAGGGTAACTGAGATGAGACGGAGACCCTTGACGATGGAGGGTAACTGAGATGGAGATGGAGAAAAGTCACAATTCTCATGGATTGCTTGAAGAAGAACAAAAAATCATAGCCTTTCTCACTAGCATGGGCAAATTTTAACCTCCATTCTAGGAAAGAAAATGGATAGTTTTGGGTACTTTTCAGTAAAATGCAAGTCTGATACTGTTAAGCAGGGTCCCGCTAGAACAGGTTTTTCTGATTTGTGTAATAGATTGGTATCTTTCAGCATTGTAGAGGTTCATATATTTAGCCTTGTTTCTCTTATACTCATCAGAAGAAAGGAGGAGCTGGGACATCATTACCGACAAGAGACACAAAGGGTGCTACCTACACCTCCCTCTTTGTGAGATGTCCTGCAAAAATGTGTTACTTGATTAGGTGTAGGGAACCATGGACATAACTTGGAGAAGGCATCCAAACATTTAGAACAACAACAGGTACAGAAGCATGTGTTATGCCCAGAGTTGGGAGAGTATTAGAAAAAGACTCAGATTGTTAACCCCCTGACTTCCTGGAGTATAAGAGAGAGGGTAGGGAAAACACAAGCATGCTTGCAAGGTTCTTTTAGTATAGATTATCTCAATAAAGTATAGTTCTAATTTTCCTGTGAGTCAGTGCCTGTTCTGCTCTGTCTCCTAAGGATAACATTGGGTCACAGAGCCCACAAGCAAAAATGCATGGGAATAAAATCCAGCAAGATTCCCCATAACTCCTATCACCTATATGTATGCAATCCTTTTATTATGTTCTGATAAGTATAGGTGACCATTACTTTCTGTTCTTCCTGTGTATAGGCTAAAATTACAGGTTGTTAAACATGAACTGCTTCTTTACAACCCAATCACATTCCTCTTAAAAAGCAGTTAGTGTGTGCCATAAATTCCAATTGAAGTTACTCAGTTTTTGTTTTTTTAATATTTGCCAGCTTCCAAACCTAGTAGATAAGAGTAACTCTGAATGAACAAACAGAGCCAAAAATAAAGGAAAGACGGAGCTGGAACACCACTTAGTGATTCAGTAGCTACTCCTGCTCTGCCTTTCTGGCCTTTCCAAGGTGAGCCACAACACAGAAAACAAAGGAGACATTTGAAGAGATTTCTGGATATGGTTAAGTCAGCACAATGGGGGAGAGAACATTTTCCACTGAAAAAAAGTATATAAAGAAGCATTTCATTAAGCCAGTACATTAATAATGTGCAAATGCTGGTAATATTTCAAATATCTGGCACTTTAAAATGTTGGATATTGAGCAAAAACAGATGCATGTGGGTTCAAGTACATGCCAGTCAATGTGTAGTATTGTGTAGACTTTGGTTCACCAAAGCAGTATCTATGCAGGATTGTTTCCATGTTCAAAGCGTTAGTTTGTAAAATAGCTCTCCTATCCTGATGGTCTCCAGATGTGACATTATAATTCCAATAATCCAGCAAGCAGTTACACTTATGGAAACACTGAATATGGTCACAAAATCCCAACTGGTTGAAAGGATTGGATTAACTATAAGCACATCTGACCAGGGCATCTTCATTACTGAAATGAGGAACAGGAAAGATGTTTGCTTTCCTCAATCAGATGTCCTCAGATGTATTTAATTACAACTTTTATAATTGGCTAATAATGGCAAATAGCACCATGGTGACTGTACTATTGAGGGCAATGGCAGGTGGCAGTACTGGTCAACCTTGTCTGGGTTCAGAAGTTAAGCATGGTCAGAGACCATTTGTAATGGAATGAAAGACAACTAGGAAAACTCAGGATTTGGGGGAAGGCCAAGAAATTTTTAAATATTATTTTATTATTTATTTATTTAGTGAATTTATTTGCCACCCATCTCTTAATGAAATGACTCTGGGCGGCTTCCAGCATTAAACCATTAAATCCTAGCAAATATCTAAAAAAAATAAAAATAAAAATCCCAATAAAGATAAAATTGTAGTTAAAAGATGGGGAGGGAGGGAACAGGATGCTCTGGGGGGAGGTGGGATTGCATCTTAATTCAACAACCGTTGCTCCTCCTCCATTTGGGCTCCAAGTCATCTGACAGAGTCAGGTCTTCAGGCTCTTGCAGAAGATCAGAAGGGTGGGAGCCAATCTCAGCTCAGAGGCTAAGATGTTCGAAAGGATAGGAGCCCGGGCAAAGAAGGCCCTTTTCCTGGACCCCGCCAGCCAGAATTCTTGACTGACAAGGCTCACAACATGCCTTCTCTGCTGGCGCAGATAGGGAGGGCCCTTTCTAGTGAGGTGAGATAGTTCCTCAAGTAACCTGGACCCATGTCATGCAGGCCTTTAAAGGAAATAACCAAGACCTTGAATTGCACCCAGAACCAACCAGCAGCCAGTGCAGCTCACAGAACAATGGTGTAACATGGACCATCCTAGAGACCCCAAGAATTGCCCACACTGCCATATTTTGCACCAGTTGAAAATATACATTGGGAATATCCTGGGAGAAAAAAAACCAACTGTTTGGTAAGAAAACTACATGGATATGTCTGTAAGTCATCAAAAGTTGACTTTGACTTGAAGATATCTTAGCTATTTTACTTTGCCCCAGAACCCCATGTTAGGGAAGGATCCTTTTAAGTCACATACAGCTAGAACAGAATGTAATAAGGATCTGAGGCTCTGCAGAAAAAGAGTTGGGAAGTTCTTGCAAGATGATGCATTCCCTGCCAATCATTTGCCTCGGACCTGGAGGGTACAGACATAGAGAAATAGTGTACTGCAGCAAACTCTGCCATCAAGCTCTATTTCAACCTAACTATAATTCCAGCCAACGTTACAGAGGAGGCAAAGGAGAAAGTCATTTTATCTATTAATATGTAATCTCTCTAGAATTGTTTGATCAACAGCACTGTGTATTAAATACAAATATAGGTTTTGCAGACAGAAAACCATCTGTGCCACCTGGTGGTGGATTCCAGAAGGAATCTGCTTACTGCACCATGTAACTTTTCCTCTACCTAACCTTGTGCATTGTACTTTCATTACAGACTGGTTACTGGCACACATGGGCAATCTTCACTTTCAAATTCATCATTTTAAAATAGTTTTGGAACTTCAACTATTACTTTGTCTCTTTTATCTTCTCTAGGATGCTCCGTAGCAACAATCCAGGCTCGTGATATGAGATGTGAGACTCCTACTGTGACCCTTCTTACTTGCTGCTCCATGGTTTTGCTGGTTTTTGAAAAAGAAATTGAGAAAGAGAGATGGTGGAAGACGAATCAGCTCAATAATATTGATTTTCCAGCTTTGCATACATTGAGTCAAACAAATGCAAACACTGTTTTAATGACCATTGCTGTTCAAAAAGAGAGACTGGGATTCCCTATGCTCATCCAGACCTGTAAGAAGCAAATCAGATAAATAGCTATATGAAAACTGTGAAGGGTCACTATCAAATTGGACTGGGGAGAACAGTGCAAATTAGACAACATTGTCCTGGAAGAAACCCAGAAGTTCCGTGACAGGCCTATTTTTTATTCTTTGTTAAATAGTATAGAAGAAAGAAGAACAGTGAAAAAAAAAACATAAGCAATGGGGGGTGCAGGTGTGTGAGACCATCCTTAAGTCATATCCGTATACTTCCAGATTATCATCAACCTTTTCTGAAGGACACATTAAATTTCTGGGTCAGGTTTTTGCCAACTGGCTAGGAAATGAGTCTTGGAAAGCTACCCGTGATTGGCTGGGTGTCTGGCTCACACAGCAAACGTCGATTCAAAACAGAGTTGACCCCAGAGATGATCAGCCCACCACTGGGGGATTTTCGTCACACCATGCATGTAGGGCGTGGTGGTGACGCCTTTGGAGACACTTCTTTCCTTAGGAACCATGGTGGAGAGGAAGTCAAACCCCACAATTTCTTTGCTCGTACACTGTGGCATGTGAGAAGGAGCCCGCTAAGGAACCGGGGAAGCCGAAACAAGGATCAGGGTTCATCTGCTCCTCCCGCCATCTCACCCATCATCAAAAATGCTGTGTCACTGCCTCAGCTCAATCAGACTCACTACGAGACTGATGATCTTGGTATAGCATTTGCCTTCAAGAAACCCCCAACAAGCTTCTCTGACTATGGTAGGTGGTTTCTAGGGTAACTCGTTTGAGTTTAACAGGTTATCTTGTTTTAGATATTAATTCTTTCTGTGCTTTGGTTTACTTAGTTCAATGTTTCTCGACTTTGACAACTTTAAGATGGGTGGACTTCAACTCCCAGAATTCCTATGCTGGCAAAGGAATTCTGGGAGTTGAAGTCCACCCATCTTAAAGTTGCCAAGTTTGAGGAACACTGATTTAGATACACCAACAAAAACATTTCATAAGAACACTCAAATAGACATTTCAATAATATTTTTAGAAGTCTATTTTGGATTGATGAGTGCCATTCTGTAGTATGTGTTTAAGGGAAGTCTATCACACACATTATCTTACATTGCAGTCTCTATGATTCTCTTCTCTAGTAATTTTCTTTTCTTGGTCTCCCATTCTTTTATTGAAAACAGTTGTGCAATATGTGATTACCAATCATTCTGAATAACATACTGACTCTTAAGTCATAGCATTGTCCTAGTACATATTCAAATGACATCTTTTAAGAATTTTTCAGAGGCTTTGCAACAAGAAATTTCTATAAGTATATGCCTATTTTTTTTTAAAGTATAAAATAAAAGACTGAAAATGGAGGGTTTCTAGCAGAAAATCATAATGGGACTCAGCTTTCAGATGTCCTTTGTTTTGGCCTTTCAACCAAGTGCCAGCAGGCAGTTGAGAATGCTTTAAAATTTCGTCATTTTTTTTGTCTTGATGGTTCTTCTGGTACATATTTTCAAGTCTACATCAATTCTACTAAGTCGTATGTTTCCAGAATGCACTTGGCATTTTCCTGGAATGATAACGATAAGGCCAGAAATAGCTACATATATTTTCTGGTTTACCCAGCAATCCATAGACAGCAGGAGATTAGAAATGGGAAGTGTGGTTATAAATGGAAAGGAAAGGGAAGGGGTGGAGTAATCGTCAATTGCAAATATGCATGAGATTGGCAAGTGCAACCAAAATGAAGCAAGTATATTATGAAGAGTCTAAAAATTGCAAAAATAATGTTGTTGTTATTGCTGCAGAATAAACACTAGTACAGATGGTTTCATACCAATTATTTCTTAATGTTTAATATATCTGCAATATCCTTGTTTATCTATTTGCTAATAACTTTTATTTTTATCTATTACTATATTGCTTATTCTAAATCAAAATCTTACCATCTGCAGTTGAGTAAACTATGTCAGTGGTACATAAACAAAATAAACTTTGGAAGAGTTAACTTGATAAAAAAATAGAACAGAAATAATTCAGAGCAATAAGATCTGCTTTTGGGGGGGGCCACAAGGTGACAACATAACTTTAAATTTTAAAAGTGAACAGAATATAAAAATCTGTTGCCAAGCTCTAAATAACCAGCAAATAAGAATTTTGCATATGTTGCAGTAATCAGAATAAATTGAAACATAGGATATGTTCAACATGACATAAGAAATGCCTACACCTGTACAAATTCTACATAAGGAAGTCAGAATCCCTGGAAAAGAACAAGCTTCCAACTAACATATAGAGAAATACATGGTTAACAACCAGCATATATAATCCAGAGATTTCTCTGTGTATACGTCACTTCACATTATGCTGAATGTAAACAGAGAGATAGGAGCAAAACAGAAGATGTGATCTCTCCACTTATAAAAACACACATCACATGCCTCCTGATTTTAGCTTTTTAGACTTGTCTGCAACTGCACGTAGGCATCAATGCGTACCTATGCTGCAAAGGGGTTGATGATGCTCACACCTTCCAAATCTCAACTACACATTGTGTTGAGATGTGCATCCTGCATGCTGATTGATTAATTCAACTTCCTGTTGGCTTTGTTGTTTGAGTGCCCTCCAGCTAGAACATTAAAATTCAGAAATATAAATGCAACAGCTAACATATGCATTTCCAGACAGATGCATTTGTTACCTGACATGCAGTGACTCAGATGTCTACTCCAGGCTTATGGCTCTAATGCTGTAAAATGTATTTGATTAGCATGTCTCAAATGAAATACTTTGTTCATCACTGATTGGAATCCTTTATGGCTGAAATTGGTGTAACAATAAAATACCTTGAACCAATAAATAGATCATAACTTTGACATTGTGCTTATAGAAGTCGGACATTTCATTACTGTAAACATAGAACTAACTCTGGGCCTATGCTAATACATGTAATGACATGTGTCTATTTGGAGAATTGCTAAATATGTCAAAAGAAGAGTTATATAGGGCAGTGGAGAAAAATCTTCATCAAAGGCATTATTTTTCTGTACACTTGTTTTGGACTTTAAATCTTAATGAGCAAAGGCAATGAGACATACATCAGTGGAAACATACCTAGGATAAGGTTATAAATCTGTGCTATTTTGCTAGGTTTGAGGAGATATATATGTAAGACTTTGGGAAGATACTTTTCATTAATGCTGGAAACATGGCCTATGTCTACCAAGGGAATCTATATTCAGTACAGAATGCCAAGCAAGCAGCTAATAGGAAAAAAAGAGGAATCTGTATGTACAGGAAGAAATTTGATTTGGATCATGAGAGGAAACCAGAATGAAATAGAACAGATCTTCTCCAGTGTCAAATGCTAAACCATTGCTCAGATATTTTCAGACAATCCTCTGTGCATCCACCTAATCAACATAGGAAGAAGTCTATCCCAATTCTGATCTCAACTCAAAACAATGGAATGCATCCAGGTTTTACCCTGTTTAATTAGCAGTTGCTTTCTTTACCTCCTGTGATGTCTGCATCTGCAGTAAAAAAAACTGCAGCATTCTCACTGAGGTGGGACCAGGAGAGTCAATTTGAGCAACTGCAGCTGCACAGTTATCTTTGCCTACATTGCCAGTCTAGCCTTGTTCTTTCCTGGCATTCTTCAAAAGAGTTATGAGAGAATGCTGCCCTCTGATGTTCTTTGTGAATTGTGCAGTTGTTGCAATCACATTCCCCTTTCCAGCTTTTTACACTTTATCATCCCTCCTATAAATTCCAGCTTCATGAGCAAAGTGCAGAAAAGATAAGGTTAACCAATCATTTAGAGAGAAAACTAGTTCCCCATTCTTTCTGCTTTTATCCGTTCAATCTTCTGAGTGTAATCAAACTTGCAGTTCCATTGCTCCCTATATATTTGCTCCCTAAATAAGCATGACCAATATTTCATTGCTTAGGCCAGCTGGCTCTGATGCATAATTCATATTGCTTTTAGAATTACAAGTTTAGCAACAGGCAGGAGGATATTCACAGAAGATTTTAACTAAGGCAGTGCCTATGTACCTAAGATATCTTTATTTTAGAGATGAGAATGGCTGAAATGTGCCTTGGAAAATTAAGTAACCATATTGAACCATCATAGGATCATTTTTTATGCTTTTTAAATAAAAAGCAGGCTACAATATTTAAAATAAATTAAGAGCCAATGTGATGGAATGTACACCTGGAGAAGAGCTTTAGCAGCACAGGGCTTCCCCAGGGAGGAGGCAGTAAATTCCATCAGCGGCCCAAATTAAGAGACTGCGGAGTCCTGAGCTGGATGGGGAGGGAGGGAGGGAGGAAGATGTTCAGGGTAGGCACACCCTAGAATCTCTCAGGATATATCTAGCAGGTTATAGCTTTAGTCTGGCAAGATTCTGTCCATTAGGAATAAGCAAATAAAGAATTTGATTGGATTTCAGTGTGTCATCTCTGGGTTTGGGCCTGACAGTCAACTGGATCTGTCTATACCAGGGGTAGGCAACCTTGGCTCTTTTATAACTCGTGGACTTCAACTCCCAGAATTCCTGAACCAACGATGCTGGCTCAGGAATTCTGGGAGTTGAAGTCCACGAGTCATAAAAGAGCCAAGGTTGCCTACCCCTGGTCTAGACCAACAACCTCTTTTCTCCACAGAGGCTACCCCAGATTTGTATAGGATGTTCATAGACTTCCTTGGTTCCTCCTGATACCTGTTTCTCCAGCAACTGATATTCGAAACATAATGCTTCCTACAATATAAATAATACACAGCCTTGAAGGCACCAGGTTTGGAAAGACTGCTCTAGGAAGATAATGCAGCACTATTTATATTTAATGGAAGAACTGTCACAGTATCCATTTTGTTCTTTCTGCCAATATATGACATACAGTAATTTTGATTAGGAGGATAAAGGGGCCAGAGTTTCACAAAATACTCTACTTTGCACCTTTTAGATTTGAGAAATCCCATCGTTCAGGAATGTAATCTGAACTCACAAAGCATGTTGAATGGGGTTAAAATTAAAATGAGTAATAAATAATTGTTTCTGGTTCAATGTGTTATGATATTTTGCCAATGTGTTAGCACTTTGTAATATCAGGCGCACTGACATTCTAGAGGGAGGGGCAGCAAATGACAACATGTGTGTTCCACAAGAGCCATGACTTACAAACTGATGTTAAACGGCGCGATGCCAGCATATAACAGAACTATTGTTGTGATGAGGTTAATATTCCTGATTATGGACTCTGTGGGTTTATATAATTTTTAAGAGTATGGTATGTCTTCAATTTTAGTCTAGAAATAGAATACACATAGACACGAGATGAATGCCATAAAATGAGAAATCAGACACAGAAATATAATATAACACTCTAATTCTGAACCTGTTTCTACATATTTCCTTTACTGGCTCTGGGAGCCCACTGCTGAAGGATGGCTACTAGGTTAACCCAGGGGATGAAAAATTTGTTCTCGGCACCAAGAACAGTTCATTAGAAACAGCTCACAATCCCCTGAGCTGTGACTAATTTGCATATTTTAGCTGAGCACTATTAACATAAATGTGCATGAGGTGGCAAATGTGAATCAATGTTAGTCTGACATGGTGCACTCGCTCTACAATAGACTTTTCCTGAAATGGTGATCTCTTGCAGGGGAATCTTGACTAAGTCCTAAGAGGAGGAAATAACTCATCTTCCTACCTTGATCTCTCGGCTCCTCCCCACCTCCCCAAACTATTTGTGAGCTTAAAGAAAAGGACAGGGGGGAAAAAGAACCATTTTGAAATCTGGTCCTAGAAATTCCAGGTGCAGTCAAATATATATGACTGGGTTTCATTAGCTTGTTTATTTTTTGCCCATTTTAATCCATTTGCTGTCAAATTGTTTTGTCCTGAGATTTGCAACTTGAAAATTGCAGTTATGAGTAGGGCACATGAAAAATCTCTAGTTTCTCTAGAATTGGGAAATACTACCGACCTATCCTCATATTTCACATTCTACCAATATAGAATTGTCACCTTCTGCTATAACAGGTAATTCAGAGAAGTAGTTCAATTTTTTTTTCTCATTGTTGGTTTCATGGCCTTTCAGGATTAGAATCTGGATTCTGCACCATTCCACGTGTTCCCCGGTCCGAGAAGGCTCCCGAGAGCTCCCGTCCTGCTGAGTCAGCATTGCAACGTTCAGATTCCTTGCTGTCTTTCCGCCTGGACCTTGGCCCTTCTCTAATGAGCGAACTTCTTCATGTCATCAGCTTCTCAGGAAGCAACAGCTTTGACTGCAGGGAAAAGACAGACTGTGAAGAAAGTAAACCCCCAAGCAGCAGTGAGCCTCACTCATCCCTTCACGTCAAGAGCTGGTCAGAGGGCTCACTACTTGGGAAGTCAGAATCTCATCATGGTAATGGTGAAGAAAGCCAAAATGCATCAAGCCTTTTGGATTACTCTGAGCCTGGATCACCCTTGGGACATTTGGTCTATGCCAATGGAGATTCTCATTCTATAGAGTTGTCTGAGGAAGGATCTCCCTGTTTGAGAAGCAGGAGTTCTAGTTCTGAACTAGGGGCAGTGCCAAAAGAGACCTATTGGCAAAAAGGACACCACAGTGACTGTAACACGGAAGCAAGAGAATTCAACCATGCTGCCCATGTCTTAGCATGCCATTATGAGGCAGGAAGCAGCTACTGCAGCCCATCTCCACAAGATCATCCAAAGAGACAAACCACATGGGAAAGCCCAATTACCAACTCATGGCACTTGAAAGTAGGTGCACCTGAGCAACAGGAATATTCTACTGGGTGGCAACAAATAAGGGAAGAGGAGGAGGAGGAGGAGGAGGAAGAGGAGGAGGACCACGACAAGTTTGACAGTGATGAAGAAGCCATTGTTACAGAGAGATACAATGATTCCTTTGAATATGTTGATGAAGAGGATGAAGATGAAGTTAAGGTTTGAACAGACGTATATGCTCTCTTGTGGCCTCCCATCAGCCTCTTAGGAGATATCAGAGCAAAATGAAACAATATAAAGCTATCTGGCATTCTGGATATGTTCAGATTCACAAGATTAGCCTTCTTTTCAGGTGATCTGCTATATGTCAATGCTTCCTAAACTGGTGTTTCCAGTCTGAAAACCAATTTGAATTCCCATAGAGTGATAGTTTTACCACACTTACGGAATGCCAGGCTAGGAAAGGCAGATGGAGGACGGAACTCATTTCTCTACCATGGTCTCTCTCCTCCCTGCTTTGTGTATTTAAAAAAAGAAATAGAAAAAAGGAACAATTTATAGCAAACAAAAAGTATTAGTTGCTCTTTTGTGGTAACTGGCAGTTAAAGTTGCTTATGACTTCATATGCTCCTTCATTCCCACTGGCTGATTGATTTCATCATGACAAGTGATGCCATGATTTTTCCATTCCCTAGAAATAAAAACATTTATACTTAAGGATAGAGACCCTTTCAAATAACTATTGGGAAAAATGCCACTTAAAAAAAGAACAGTCTAGAAAAGGGAAGAGTAACCGTACATCCATTGGGACAATATTCTAACTGTCTTGTGCTAAAAATGAAGACCAACTCAACTGTTTTTCCAAAGCAAGATACTGAGACACCAGCTAGGCAGGATGGTTCCTCTCCTCTTTTTACCAGAAACACAAAATTTGGATTGGATCTGAAACCAGTTCATCAGCACACTGTTCATTTTTCTTGCACCAGAACTCTGATTGAGATAGGATTATTTGTTTATTATGCACCCTCAGAAGGAAATGTAATCCTAGTCTTCCATTGTTATCATTCCAGGGGAATCTATATGTCAAGCTTGTTGTTTTATATACTTCTAGAGAGTGTACAGAATTCAATGTATGTTAAGGATCTGACACGGAGGGCTGAAATATAACTTTGCATCTTGTATGTCCTATTTCAGGCATTGGCAATGCAAAATCCTAAATAACAGTTTGTTTCTAGCACTTACAGCTTTGCATAGCTACTGCAGCAGCTTATCTACAATGTATGTTCAGGAACAAAGGTAAAATCAGAGAATCTGAAACAGGACTGCTTTTCATGCTTCCATGCCCCCCCCAGCCCCAAAAAGAGGACAGTTTACATGTTGTGTTTGGAAGCCTTCCAGGTGGCCCCTGAATTTGCTGTTACTGCCATATATAAAGCTGTTGCTTAGCCAAGAAAGCGGCTGAATACAGCACAATCCCTGTATTAATTCCACTTTACAATTATAATATATAGTGTGGCTTAAACAGGGAGGATGGCATGCATAAAGTCATCCTTGTGCATTTCCTTTTTCATTTAAACCTCATTTGTCTACCACCCTACACAACTGAATACTCTTGGAAGCAACTGTTCTCCATATCAGGAGAGAGCCTCAATGAAATTAAAACTGCAGCCATACATGTCTCTGGCCATGTGCTCTGCCAACCTAAGTCTGCACTTTTGCCCACTGGTACAAACAACCTTCATTGACAAGGTAATAACTGCCCACCCCCTTGTTTCAAGGGTGATTCAGGCAACCATAAGTTAAACACTCCTTAAAAGAAGCAGTATCTTTGAAAGTATCCTTGAGGGGAAGATCAGACAGCTTAATCTGAAAGGATCTCTGAATATATTAGTATATATTCTCACAGCAACAGTTGACCACCCCAAAAAGAGAAAAATGGATAAAATTTTCTCTCTGGCTAATTATAGCGGTGCCCAGTTTGACACAGAGATATTTTGGAAGCATCAGCTATTTGAGATAAGTCAGTCTGAATCATGACTTTGTGCTCATTTTGAACGAGCTCTCAGACAGTTATGTTGGCTGGGAAAGAAGGGTTGTCTTGTCTTAGACATGGAAGAACATGAGAATTAGGCTCCTCACTCCCCCTCCCCTACATATTTTCAGAAGATACTCATACATTGACCTCTTCCAGCTCCCACCCATCTGCCTGCATTTTTCCCTGATCAAATCACTCTCTCAAGGAACTATTTTGCTGAGAAACAAAAGGGAAGAAGTGGATGTCATACAGTAAACTCTCTAGGAGATTAGCAGCTATGAAAAAGAAATGTTGCCAGAGGACCTAACATGCATGGCAGTAAGATTTCTCTAGTCAACTGAAATCAAGTTTTAAAAGCAGGCATAAGGATGTTTTAACATTCTTCCTTACCTCAAAAGGGTTCTTTGAAGTTGTTCGTTTGGGTTGCTTCTAGTTAAGCAAACCAAAGCAATCATAGTACATGGAGATTCAAATCCTTCTCTTTTGTAACCGGTTGATCATTAAGTTTTTTTCTTCTTTACCACTGACTGTATTACTGGTAGGGTATCTTTCTGCAGCCAAAGACTGTAGCTCCTTGGGGATAATTAAAGGGGCATATAGGCAGGGGTAAAGAAATAATTAGTGAGATCCAAGCCCCCCAAAAGATATGTACTTTTATTTTGTCTCTGGCACTCTTTACCAGTTTGGGGTTTACTTTCTAACACCTTTCTGACTCTCTCTCAGGCCATAGGTAAAGGAAGGGTCTCCTTAACCAGAGAGGTTTGAACAAATCAATAGCACCCTATGATAGGAATATAAGCTATCTACCTCAGTTATAATGCCCTAGTGAGTACATGTAGCCCTCATTTAGCAATTCGTTTGTTTAGCAACAATTTGTACTTGCAACAGTGATGAAAAAATAACAGTTGTGACCAGTCCTCACCTTAATGACCTTTGCAGATCTGTAAAGCAAAAGAAGGCTGAAGTAAAATCATAAACACCATCAGGGATTCACTTAGAGACCACTTCATGTAACAACTGTGGTTAAGTGAGTATTACCTGCACAGAACTCTGTCCTTCAGAACCACTTGATTCCACAGTCCTGTCTTCTGAGGTACAGATAGTCCTTGACTTACTGAGCCCAAAATTTCTGTTGTTAAGTGAGGCATTTGTTAAGTGACATTTGCTCCATTCTATGACCTTTCTTGCTCCAGTTGTTAAGTGAATCACTGCAGTTAAGTTAGTAACACAGTTGTTAAATGAAGCTGGTTGTCCCATTGACTTTGCTTGTCAGAAGGTCACAAAAGGTAATCATATGACCTCAGGACATTGGAACCGTCATAAATATGAGTTAGTTGCCAGTGCCTGAATTTTGATCACGTGACCAAGGGCATGCTGCAATGGTTGTGTGAAAAACGGTCATAAATCACTTTTTTCAATGCCATTATAATTTCAAATGCTCACTAAATAAACTGTTGTAAGTCAAGGGCTACCTGTATACTATTTATGTATTCTGACACTTTTTCAGGAACTTGAATGAGTAAAAGTACTTTTCTATAGGCTTAGAAAAAAATGGGATTCTTAGGCTTGTCTTCCTGAGATGTGGGTTCACTGGAGCATTAGATGACAGTCTCTGCCTACATTTGGGATTCTTTTGAATGAACAAGTTCTTTCCATATTCACAGAAGAAATTTTTTTTTCTAATTTTTTTCCTTGTGGCAAGCAGAGATGTCTGAGATGAGGTCACCAAAATGTCCCTCACAGCACTGTGATTGTTCACAAGTTGGCAACAGCTGGAAGAAGGCTAATCCTGCAGTAAGCTGTACGTGGCAGGAGGAGGGAGAAAAAAGAGGAAGAAACAAAATATAGTAAACAAGCATTATGTGGCAACATCCAGGCAACTGATTTTCTGTGCTGGATGGCTTATAACAAGCTGTCTTCAACCTCACTGCCTGAGCAACAGAAATGACTGTAAGCATCTTTAAATAACACATCAGTAGTGATTTGGCATTTAGCTAGCATTCTTGATGGCTAGAGATGGATTGGGGGAAGGGTTAGCTTAAACACTGAACAAGGCGGGATGTTAAGTACATCTTTGCATTCAAGTGCACATTTTTTATAAAAATCAATTGGCTATACACAGAGCTAAGCCATAGGCTTATCTAGTTCTGATATTTGCACTGGCTGACATTGGTTCAACAGGCACTTTTCACAGCCCTATCTGGAGAGGTTCAGAACTGAAACTGGAAACCTAATATACAAAGCTGATTGCATCCCACAAAATAATGCTATTAATGGAAGCTTTCCTCCCTATACATAAAGGAGGTTCCCCTTCCCCAATCACTGCTATTTCAGTGATTTTCACACACAGCTGCTTATGTTTTTTTTTTAAGTGGTATTGAACATATGTCTAGCATGACCCTAAACAGCTTTGAAAATCTGTAGGAAAAACACCCATATTTATACTGCTGGCCCATTTTCCCAATGCTATCCTCAGTAATTTGGAGATGATCTTAGCAAACATCCCTCTGTCAGCTCTCGGTTATCTGATAAGCTTCAAAGCACAGATCCCATCCTTTTCTTCTATATATTCCTGGCACTTGTTATTGTTCTTATTACCACAATTTTTATACAGTATGTAAATCTGCATATATAAAGACTGGTTGGTGTTGTTGTGGTCCTTTTCTTTGTATTTCAACTTTCATGACTATTCCAATTCAACTGAGGCAGTTTTAGGAGTCAAAAAATACACAAGCTTGAACTAGCCCACAGTTATTTGTGCCATTTAGATTTTGCTTCTCAGCAACTCACTATAATTTTTTCTATAGAATAGAATAATTCTGTTTGGGTTGAGATGAAAACATGACTAATCACTTTACCAGGCTCCTAAGAAGAATCTCATCTAATCAAGAGGCATGCTTTAGCTCTGACTAATCCTTGATATACCAGAAAGTTTAGTTAACTCAGATAGTCAAAGGAAGGATTCTTTTTTTCTGCAGACACATAGAATTGAGAACTAATTATTTTCCTTTAATAAATCCAATTTACTGTATTTGTCTGAAAGTCCTCACATTAGCTCACATTCGATACAAAATGTGTCACATGAATCCACAAGTCCAAAGCATTCATAATCCCATTTTAACTTACCACCATTACTATTTACAAAGGGTTCAATGCCCTATAATTAATGCTGCATTTAATTTTGAAAAAAATATCTTGGAATGTCCATTTCAATAAGTTTAAGTGTTTATTTACTCTTAAGCCGCATTATGTTAAAATAGATTGTATAATCTTATGTAGAGTAGTAGATTTGTACAAATATGGTTTGCAAGTCAGAACTGGCTGAATTCACACCAAGTCACAAGCAAACAAAATACATCATACAAAGCATGCTATATAAAGCAGATTTTCATGATCAGTAATTCACCCCAGATAAGGATAACATGCTGAAATGAAGTGATGTGAAAATTTAAAACCTCCTTTAGTGATTAGAGTTAAGAATTTTCCTAAGCCAGATTCCAGCTTCATCAGAACTTTGCTAGATGTTTTTGTGGCAGATAGCATGTGTTCTTCATGCTGATATCAAGGCTTTAATTCTCCAACAATTATCTGCCTCTCCTTCCCACAGCTGCAATAAGATAGCCTTGGCAAGACTGAGTTAATTGCTAACTATCTGGAATTTCCCATAAAGATAATGACGAGCAAAGATAACATAAATGCAGGTAGAGGAAGAGGCTTTCCTTTAATATATTTGGAAGCACTTTTAACACCTGTGGCTTGTTTCTCCAAATTGCATTGCTAGATACCAAGATGAGGCTGTTGTTATACAAGACAAACAACCATCTTTAGGCTGACTAGTCAGGAAATGCTGCTGCAATATGATGTCAGCTGCAGAATGCAGATTGAGCTGTTGCTTTCTAAAGCAGCTTTCTTCAATCTTTACAGCAATAGAGCAGCAATCTTTGCTAAAGCAGAAGCCTAGTAGATGCAATAATCCTAAGAAGTAGGGACAAAAAAAAGCAAATATTAATAGTAGGGGCCATGTCAAATCTTGGCTGCTCCTTACAAATATGCTACACCCTGGAATTAGAACTTCCTTCAGGTAAAGAAGATTGCCATTTTCTTTCACCTATTCATGGAAGAAATAGCCAAATAATACAAATCTACAAATAGATTTGTAGACTTCAATTCCAAGAATTCTCCAGCCAGCATGAAATCCACACATCTTAAAGTTGCTAAGGCTGAGAAATATTGGTCCAATCCAAACTTCTCCAGCCTAAGCCCTAGCAGATAGATTGTGCTACAGGTAACTGTAGCCAAAACATCTACAAGATACTTGATTGCTAAAGACAGTTCTATCAGTCAGATGCAGCATCAAAAGTGTTTGGGGACCCATAGGATTGATTCACATAATATACTCAGTCATGGTTTGTTCCAATTGTTTTGATAAATTAGTCGCAATTGTTAATAGCAATTATAATAGCAATAGTTTACAAACTGCAGTGATAGGATTTACAAAATGGGCTAAACAAAAATCAAATAAA